ATTCATTAAGCATAACATTACTGGGCTGAGCCCTGCCACCGGCTCCCTGGCATTGAGAGCAGCTCTATCAGAAATGTACTGCCATCACAGCCAGGCAGGCAGGCAGGGGGAGAGAGAGAGAGAGGGAGAGAGAGAGAGAGAGAGAGACGGCGAGCGCGATAGCAGCCAGTTCCATCATGCGAGCAGATTAAATAACATGCCTCCCCAAGCCCTGTCAAACATTCAGCTGCCTCCGTGCACCAACTGATCCGTTACAACACACTTTATGAAGAAGCCCCTCCGTCAGCCCCGGCTCGCTGCCTTTGATCCAGCCACCGCCTGTTTGATGCCCTTAAGGGTAGGATCACACGTAGGCATACCTATGTACAGAATGCTTAAGATATGTTTCTCTGACAATTAGAGTTAGCTGAGGGAGGCCAGGACTTACTGCTACCCTCTCAAAAAAGAGAGCTTTTCAAGAGTTCTTCAGTAAAGGCAATAGTTATACATACTATGGATGAAAGCTGAATGATTAGCAAACCAATTATCAAAACCATTTGATGGATTATGCCCTACATTCCTCAATGTTTAAAGTGGAGAAATTCAAGCTAATAATGCAGAGCTTGTGAACTGAGAGTCTGCATTTATTGCTCAAGCCTGAAATTCGATAAAATAGTGTGCTTTTATGGCAATAGGAGGAAACTGGAGCTTAATTTATAGGAAATAGTTTATAGAAAATTAAGTAAAATAAGATATTTTCCCCAAATCGTTTAGCCCTATTACAGATGGCATACCGGTATCAGTGGGTATTGGAAACTGTATCGGGCTGACATCAGCAGAAAATCCTGTAACAAATCTAGCCTGAAATAGTACATGCTCACATCATAAGGTCTCAGAAAAAAAGGTACGAAACTGTCACTTGGGCAGTACCTCTCTTGTCACTGGGGTGATACCTACAAGGGTACGTCTCAGTACCTTTAGTCAGGGAACATAATTGTACCATAATCCATTGAAATGATATTTTCTACGTTATACTGACTCCACACATCCCGTCTCGTCTCTAGGCTTTTTATTCGATTGTTGTTTTAAAACACTGATTATGAAAAGATACAAATTTGTACTTTTTCCTCTAAGAAAAACACTTATTTAAGGTACACAATTGGACCTTAAAACCACTGCTGTACCTTTGAGGAAACATTTACATTGTTTGTACCTTGATGAATGAGAAATGTATCTGCACAGTACCTTTATTTTAACAGTGTACAGCTGTGTATGTCCTTCTTTAGATTGAGTAGTTTGAGCATACACGCTCATGTACTTTTAGAGTACACTAGGTACACCTGAACGCATATTTCCAATTTAGCTCTAAGAAACACCCTTTCATACATAATGTAATTACAATCGAGCTTACCAACAAGCCTACTTTACTGCCGCTGCTATGAAACACACTGGGCTGGGTGTTGCTGTGCGTTTAAGCATTAAACATTTAATAGACTTTCTCCGCCGCTCAGGCAAGCAGTCAAACAGTTGTTCAGGGAGAGAGATGACACAGTTAATCATACACCCACGCACTGCAATTGAAGCTCCAGTGCACAGACGAATCATAAAGGCAACTTTAAAAACATACAGCACTCCCATCATTAGCAACAGATTCATCTATTTACCATTCTTATACGCGCTCACACAGAGTTCTCTCTGCTCGTCACAGTCAAAGGCACTTGGTAAACACATCCAACATTACCAGAATTGAGCACTTCCTTCAGAAACAGAGCAACTTGCTAATTCAATTATTCAGTTAGAGTAAACTGCTGGTTGACCTCTGGGGAGATTCTCAAACGCAATAGCATGGAAACTGAAAGAGTTCTCAAAAAAGAGAAAGGAAAACAAGAGCAGTGAAAGAACAGCCTTTGGTTTCATATTCAAGCTACAAAATAGTAGCTGGGAAACCAGAAAACAAAAAGAACTGTCATTTCGAAAGCCAAAAGAGAAATACCCTACAAAACATCCAATTTATCTACTCACCCACACATCCAAAACGCTCACACACAGTCACCTCTTAAAATCAGTGAGTGGGAAGGACATTTGGGAACTCCACTTTCCCCTTATTTATGGTGCACCAGCTGCTGTTCTGCTCATGTAGTCACGTCAAACAAGGGTACATTTTATCTTTCTACTTAAACCCAACTTGCAGGTCAAAGGGGATACAAGCTTGGACATGGAGAGTTCAATCAAACAGAAGAGTAGACCGTATTTTTAATACTTAAACGATGCTTATGGAGTTTAAGGTTATCCAGCCTCTCAATGAGGTTTCTCTGAGGGTAATACAAGACAATGAAAACATGCTGTTCCTCGCTCTTGCCTTTAGTTCCTCTGTGGGAGACTGCTCTCTAAATGTTTGACTTTTTACCTCAGGCTATCCTCAAAGCCATGGCATGAGTAACAGAGTTCATAAAAGGTTTTTCCTCTCTATTCTATAAACTAAGGGATTAAGGAGAGATACTCCGCACATGCCTGTTATGATTACAGATTAGCGATCTAAAGTCGAGATGTCTGTAAAATGGCAAATTCCATCTTTTAGTAATGCTTAATCCTTATCTTTCAGTCATATCTCTCTGACTCATGGTTTGAAAATCTTCTCTGTACAACTCGGCGCTTGATCGTGAGATAACAGCTCACACAGAAGCCCTTCCAGCGTTACAGTATTTTAAACGCCTCTGTACATTTTCCACCCTCAAAAGTAGGCAACTACCATCAAGTCTCTGATCTACATATCTAAAAAAAAGTAAATAAATAAATAAGCGACATGAGATGAAGAAACATGACAATGCAATTGACGTCATCTCTTTTAGTCATCAAATTTAAGAGGAACATGCACTTTTGAGCCATATGGGGCGAAGAGGGCCGTTTGGGCATGAGTAAGGCCTTGATTTCCGACACATTATGCGCAGTGTTTGTCCTATGAATTAGCCAACCAGCGGTCTCCTACTCCATTGAATTAATACTATAGGAATCATTAAGCTAGAGGTCACTTCCCAGTTAACAACAGACAGACAGAATATATATAAGGTGAAGCTGAGGACTGTTAAGAATAACCTTATAACCACGTGACAAATGATATCCTAGCATTCACATCAGGTGAGGGCAGGTCATGTAAATGTATAAAAGCAATGATGTATTTTGTGGCTTATTTGTTGTGCAATGTCTGTTGCAAAGCTCCTCTATAATGGACTTCCCTTCACTGTCTGCTATTGTCAGACATAAACAGTTACATCAAGGGATGTTCAATATAGCTGATAATTACTAAGATATAGTTTTAGTTTAGACAACCTTTTCTCACCCAGAATCACATCACTGTAAGACCTTCTGACTAGACGTTATGACCTTAGTGCCATGAACAAAAAAAATAATAAGTAGCCTTAACATACGCTGAATCATAGTCCACCAAAATACATATGATGTGGACAAAGTAGCGGAGCGGCCCTTTTAGGGCGTGTAAAGGTAGCCTTTTGCAGTCCAGATCACACGAAAATCAAGTATGGCCAATAAAACAGCGATTACAGAGAAAAAAAAACAAAACAAGATACTTCCCCCTCACACATGGGACTTGTAGACTGAAATCAGATAAGCCCAACTGTGAAATAAATACTGTTTAAGACAAGTCTTTTCAACCACCACCCACCCTCCCCCACCTCATAGCCAGTCACTCGTGTTCTTTACAACTCCCACGTTGCTCTGGGCTTGACTAATCACACACCGGCCATCACAGGCCATGGTTCACATGCTTTATTCAACTGAGAGAAGTTAAGCTTACTTGGCTGTCCCACAGCAGCCTCCAACTGGTCAAGCAAGTCTACCAAAAAAAATGCTCTCTCTCCACCGCTCTTAGGGTTTGCAGTAAACAAACGGTTATAACTCATCACTTGCAATCTCTGGAGGGCAGCACATGGGGGAAGGGGGGGGGGCGAATCCTCATTGTAGGCACGCTGTTGTGACTGACTAAGAGATTAGCAAGTTGTTTTTTTTATCCCAATCTGTTATTTGATATGGTTGGACAAAGATAAAAGCTGTAGTGAACATTCTGATGATGTCAGAGCACACCACTTCAAATTCCACACATACATAATTCACTTTTCAGTTCACAAAAACAAAGTTTAAAAGGCAGAAAGAGAAGAGCCAGTACAATTTCATTCAATCTTTAGAGTTGCCCCTATAAACACAGTGCCTTAACCCATTCAACATCCAGTAACTAAATTTAGTACGATAAAGCCACAGAACTTGTTCTGATTGGTCTGAAGTGATGAAATATTGTCTAGTCATACTTTGGAGGAACATCTAACAGTGCTAATTTGAAGTTGTTTGATTACATCACTATTATTCTCATCATGTAAGAGTTTTCTGTTTTGTTTACATAAAAATCACCAGCCTTGTGAACAAAACCACATTCAATACGATCAATTAGGCTCACTTTTTAGCCACAATGGCCCACATTTATCACACATCTCAGAGCAAGAACACTGATCTAAGATCAGGTCTCATCAGGCCATGGAATTTCATTGTGTTATATAGAAAAAAAGCATAAGCTGATCCCAGATCACTATCATTACTCTAAAAAGTTTGACAAATATGGGCCATTGTTTGATCGATTTGTGCTCAGACAAGCTCATACAGACGAAAGAAAAAGCCAAAGAAGAGATACCGGAGCAGATGTGCCATTAACGGTGGGTAAACTCCGTGCCCACCTCCAGTGTACTTACTAGAAGTCATCAAGCATTAGCCTACTTGCTAGAAGTCATCGAGTGTTCCTAAAAGAGCACGCGCGCCTCGCTTGATCAACAAAAAAAAAGAAAGAAAGAACGAGAGAGAGAAAAAAGTGAAACGCTTGCAGCGCACACTCCAAGTGGACCCCGTGCTTTCCAGCTATGCTGCCAGGATTCCGTCTCCAGCCCCCCCGCCGCCCCCCCCCTCCACCTTCCCTCCCACTCGCTGTGTTTCATCCGCGGTCGCTGAGTAGTAGTACTCACCCGCTACAGTCTCCAGTCTGCCCGGCTAACTTCCACTCCACTGCCTCGAAGGAAAGGTATAATCCTCGTCTGTTTCTAACAGATGACCCCGCCGAACTTATCGGCCTGGGCCAAAACAAAGAAATCCCACCAAGAGAGAAAAAAGACACGGTAAACCGTATCACTTCATCCGGTACCCGCCGTCCACACGGATGGAAACGGGCACTTGCTTCAACAAAAGACGCCCTCGCTCTGCTAATGTATTCACGTTCAACTCGCCAGTGAGAAGAGGAGGGGAAAGAGAGGGGGGGGGGTTCTCTGTGGAAACAAACGGCTCACTCAAGTCCTTCTCGCCGTGTGGTAAGTCCGAAAACGTTTGAGAAGTGGAGCCAGTGCAGTACTTCGAGGGTAGGAAAGGAGAGAGAGGAGGAGAAAAAAAAAAAATCAGTGGAGTTCGCCGTTTACACTCTCCGCTTCCTTTTTCTCACACGCACACGCGCGCGCACGCTTTACCCCCCTCCTCGCGCACTCCCTCTTTCATATGCACGCACACACACACCACGTTCTCTCTCTCTCTCTCTCTGTGTGTGTGTGTGTGTGTGTGTGTGTGTGTGTAACCCCCCTTCAGCTGTTCAACAGACGCATCCACATGGCTGACCTAGTCTTTCTTTATCCAGACACTAGTGAAGGAGAATTACACCCCCCTCTACACATACACGCTGCTAAAAAGCGACTGAAAGCAAAACATGGACTGGATTCAAATGACCGCGGGGACAAAAGGAGCACCAAACGGATCGTGATTGATCGGTTAAAACCGTCGGAGCTCCAAAGTGCACCGCTAAGCAAAGACGGTGCAGCTCGAGCTCAACTCCTCCCATAAGGGATATATGAAAGCAACCGCGGACGTGCGTGTGTGTGTGTACGCCTGTTCATCACCCAGGCAGAAAAAGAGAAAACTGGCCCACATGATCAGAACACGTGGCGAATATTTTTTTTAAAGCATGCCATCGAGGAAATGGTTTAATTCGGCCAAATAAAGCCAGCCATTCTGCGCGCTCGTGCTCCAGCCTGCAGTAATGAACGGGCTGATGATGAGAGACCAAACAAAGGCTGCAAATTCACTTAGCACGACGTGGCTTGGGGTGATCATTTTACATCTGAAGGTTTTAGATGCCAGTGATGGCACATTTATTAATTAATCGCTCATCGTTTCATACACAGCTATTAAGTCATCTTTCAGAGCGGACCGAGTGCTGCTAAATGGAGGTGAAACGATACAGTTTAAGGTTCGACGTGGTTCTTGATTTCAAGATTCAAATCAATTTGTGATATTTCAAGTGTTTTTAAACGTCTTGATTCTAGAGAACCCTGATTATATACTATAGAGATTAGTTTGGTTCAGAAAAATACATACATTTCAATTCAAATTAGTGCGTCTTTGGGCAAAACAGTGATCTTAATCAGTGTAGCTGAGCCATAAACTAGACAGAATGCATGTAGATGTATAGTTTCGATCACTTACACCGGTTTTGATAAAAGACTGAGCAAGATCGGTGACGGTTTCAAATTCCCATAAATGCTTCAAATGTTAATTTTTTTTCAAATTTTCAATACTGTATTGAATCGTTAAGCCTTTACTACTGAAACACTGTCTACTTGCTTCCGTTTTTCCCAAACTCTGTTCATTTTAATATAATAAAACTTTCTAAACATACACAGTCCCATTAGGATCATTTCAGTGAGAGCCACTCCAAGTTAACTACATTTGTCTCTCAGCCACAGGACGGCTTCTGATACTTCAGAGACATAACACTGTTGAGGGTATTTACTACGGAGTGTCAATTAAGCACAGAAACGTTTTCAAATAAGTTAATGCATTTACAGTCTACTGTAATAATGTAGGGTGGTTTAATTTCTGATATTACATGTGTGCAATATACATGTGTGTATTTTAAATCACATCGGGTTATATATTCACTGGCATTCAAGCGCACAAACGGTGTTATTTAAGTCTACTGTAAGTCTTGTAAAGTCAGTAAATGTCTTTTTTCTAATGTACATACTTTTGCACGGTCTTTATACTCACATTATCCACAAAATTAATTAGGATTAATCAGGATGAAGTATTGTGCCTCGTAGGGACACGGCAAAAATATAGCATCACAATATTTGAAGATATTTATACATATCAATATTTTTTTTCTGAGATTTAGTAAGTTGGAAAAAAAAGGGATAAAGACATTTTCCCACCAGTGTTTCAACGTTGGGCAGCATTACCAAATATACAAAGCCAGTCATGGTCTCTTGGACTCCCGGTATCTTTGGGATTTGAACAACCGATGTCTCGACAACAGGGTGAAACCTTGTACAGCTACACTGACTAGGAGCCCAGTCTAAACTACTTTCTCAAAACATGCACTTAATCTATGTTCTTTAAAGTCAACATGAAATCTAAATTGACCATTTTTAGCCTGCTAGTTCATGTCCCTGGGCATATTAAGCACAAAGAATCATATGCCAACAATAAAATGTTAACATAATCTATCAAGATGTAATTCAAAATGTCTTCTGATTTCTGATTACATCATCATGCTCCAGCAGGCAGGGATACATAAAATGAACCAATAATATGTCTCACCTCCTCCTCTCACCACCCCCACCTATCATAGAGCGAAAGCACTCAGCCAGCTAAGAAATCCTCCCTTCACTTGGAAGTAAAGAAAATGCATCATGATTTTCTATTCACACTTATAAGAGCTTATCATGACATTATTTATGGCAGAAATGTAATTACATAGTCACATCGCACAGCCCTATTGTCTCGTCTGGGCAAAAGTAAACATGCAAATCAAAACCCCGCAGCATAAAGGCTGTCCTCCTCACCGGCCAACGTAAAGCACATATATGGAGCGGCAGCTGAGATCAATAGGAATCAAGTTCGGTGTGGTGTGGGCCCTTTATTGTGCTGCAAAGCATGTAGCCTGTCAGGTTTTCAAAAGCAGGAGGTGTCCCTAGCGATCCCAGTGCTGGCAAACGCTCTCCAGCTCCAGGGAAGCCAGAGACAGTGTGACTCCTGTTCTCCTGACAATCCTCAGCTCAGCCCAGAACCCCCACCCCAACACACACTCACATGTGTGCATGCGCACCACTCACACACACAGCAGGCAACCTCCTCCCTCCCAGCAAGCATTTGGGCTGCACATTCAAGCATATTTATTACATTTACTCAAGTACATCCTTATTTATTCCTATCCTTTTTCAGCCTCCCCGGCAGTACTTGCACTGAGCCCAAACTGGAGTTCAAATTCTCACTGTGCTAGAGGAAGATATTTAGAGAATGCACTTTTCAAAGAGATACCAATCATGGCTCCCGGGCTGCCAATAGCAGATTAGCTCCTGGCTCAGGAGGAAAACACACAACGGCGCGTTTGACACGGCTGCAGACGGTCAATTACTGCACTGAAGTGAATAGTTGCAGAAGGCGTGGGCACAAAACCGCAGCAGAGAAGGGAGGAAAAAAAATTAAAAAACACAAACAATGCGAAGAAGACTAGGACTGAGCTGATGAATATTAAATCATTTTAATGTCATGTGCACACAGGCACATTTCTCAGGGGTGAGTGACATCCATTAATGGAACTGAAAACCCATCACATGGCCGCAATTCAGCCACAAACTGACACGCCACAAAATACATGGGGTAACAAACCCGTTCTATGCTGATGACTGTTGTAAATCTTCGGCTGGAACACGCTGTAAAAGTGTGCAGTGTTTCAGAGGAGACTAGCGCCGTTCTCAGAACAGCCTGGCAAAAAAACCCCAGTAGGGAGTTTGGAGGAAAAAGGCCCAGCTCTTTATGGGATTGTTTTAAGGGCGAATACTTTGCATTTCCTGCGCTCAGATGGCTCTTCCACAAGCAGAGGAGATCCCATTATCAGGCAGACGAAAACTCCACCTCCAGGATTTCACAGCTCCTCTATTTATCACATGGCCCTGTCAAGTTGGGCACCATTAACCGATAATGAAAGGAGACAACCGGTGCAGTTACAAGCAAAGCACTCCACATTCTACAGGCCTAAGCATGTATCTGGGAAGCTGACTGTTTCTATTCAGTTTCTGCTATGTATTCAGCGCCCCATCACAATGCCTCAAGTGGTGCGCAGTCTCTGCTTATGCTAGTTTATCATAGCGCCGTCTCATTTAACATTGTAAAAAGAAGCAGCCGTGGACTAAAACGATGACTGACAGAGAGAATAACTCCTAACAGATTAGTTATTCTGTCAGCAGATGGTAGATATCAAGCTACATCAAAAAGAGAGAATTAAAATGGGGGGAGGGGGGTGCTTCTGTTTTCTTCATTGAACATTTCTGCTGGTGAAAACAAAGGCTCAACAGAGGAGCAGCACTAGAGCCAGAATTCACGTCTTGTGCAAAGGAACAATTAATTCTGCTATCAATTCCTCCTCATCAGTTTTGTGTTTGTCTCATTAAACACTTAAAATGAGCAGAGTGAGCAGTCATGCTTATTTTTGCCCGATTACCTCTAAATAGAGACCCTGCGTTTGCGCCCATTGCATCCAACAGATGAAAAAAAAGGCTCTGAAATACAAATAAGTCAGCCAGTAGCTGAAACAACAACAGAAAAAAGGTGACATGGATGAGTGAGCCAAGCTTGTGAGCGCCTTGGCAAGCCTTAGAGGCCCTGGCCCCTTAAGCACTCATATCTAGTAACTTCATTTAATACATTCAGCAGGGATCTGCAGACAAGTGGAAAGGAGAGAGATTCTGACTGAAAGAGGGAAAAAAACACAGGAAAAGGAGAGTGGAAAAAGATTCAAGGCACTCTATTCCTTATTTAAAGACTTACAATACAGCAGTAAAGACAGTATAAAGGAAAAAAATGGCTTCAAACCTGCTTCTCAGATGGCTATTGAAAAGGTGTGCTTTGCATATAAAAAAATAAAAGCCCTACTTTGTTCTGTGTAGCCTTAAGGAAAGTGCAGAGCCCACAGCAGACGTTTCCAAGGCAAGACTAAACAATGGGAGTCCGGATTGGCGGAAAGGAAGAAGAAAAGGTGGGTGATGATCACAGCGCTTCATTCCTCGCTCCCTCTCTTCGCCAGGGGTCATATTCACACTCTGATGCTGCCGTCAGGAACCAGCACTCATGTTTCCCTTCAAGAGACACAAGCAACT